CTGAGCGGAAGTTCGTCGGCCCACCAGCCGCCGCCGCCGCCGGCAGGGGCGCAGCAACCACCTCCTCGCGGTGCATTGGCGGCGGCCTGGCGCAAGTGGCGGCGGCAACAGCAAGTGGCAAAGTTGCTCTCCGTGATGCTGGAACCAAGCCCGCACATCGCCTAGACCACCGAGGCACATGTGTCCAGAAAACACCAAAGGACATATGTTGCCTGGGCCGCCGAGGCGCATGTACCCAATGATCGAGAGCAAAACCTATGGCACAAAACTGTCCACAGAGCATCACAGAAGAAATGCGCAAACGTCGCAGATACCACACCAAAGCAGGACAAGCCCGAGGCAACAGACCGCATGTGTGGGGGTATACATCAGTGCCGTTACCCTGAGAAGGCGATTCCCCGACTGGACTTGTGTCACTGAATGCAATAATCCCGATGCAGAATGCTACGTGCAGTCTGAATGATGCTCTACGCAGAGACGATGGAGGTGACCACATGAATACACACAACTACACGTACACTCATTTCCGCCGCAATGCCGCGAGCCCTGACCGGAGAGTCCTCGGGACCATATGTTTCAAGGCCCCAAACAAGCGATGTCGGGGAGTCCTGCACAGATCTGCCACCGAGCCGCGAGGCACCGAGTAATGTGTCCTCGGGCCCCCCGTCTAGGGGCCTCTGGAGCCTGGTTCGGAATGCCACCTCCGACGTGCAGCAAGATGGCCCCCAAGCCCATTCCGTGTCCGTCTTCCTGCGGTCCCCTGAGCTGTCTTGGGAGGAACTGGGGGCGGCCCCAAGAGGCCTCCTCGATCACTTGTTTCCAGAAGTCGCCCCTGGCTCGGGTTGACACGCACAGAAAACTCGCTAGCTCCCGCGTGGTCTCTTACTGGATGCCGAAGACCACCGCGCGCACTCGTTCTCCATCGGCCTGCAGTCATGCCGCGTGACTCTCACATTGTCGTCAATTCGGTCTCAAGACCACCCAGGACGGCCCAAAAGGCCCCCAAGATGGCCATCTCTCCCTCGTTGTCTCCCTCTCTCTCTCTCTCTCTCTCCCTCCCCCCCGGACCCGGACGGCAGCTGAAAGCGCATATGAAGGTAAAGGACCGCGGGCAGCCCCTGCAGCTCCGCATGCGCGGGCCTGCGCCCAGTCCCGACCGAGAGCCGAGCGGGCCGTGCCCTTCCTCTCCTGCGCTTCCCGCAGAAGATGCCCTCCCTCACTTCACCTGCCGCGCCTCCGCCCTGACCCCCCCGATCGACGCCCTGGCCACCCCAGCGCGGCCCGAGCCTAGACTGCGGGGAGATGGCGCTGCGATTCCGAGCAACATCTCGGCTGCGGCTCCTCCAGCGCGGGTTCGGGGGGGAGGGCGTGCCTGCACGCAGCCCGCACCACCGCGCCAAAAGGGAACGTGAAGAGGGGAGGAAGGGACGAGACGAGACGAGACGAGACGAGACGAGACGAGACGAGACGAGACGAGACGAGACGAGACGAGACGAGACGAGACGAGACGAGACGAGACGAGACGAGCGCAGGAGCGTCGTGGAGGACGGCCGCTCTGGGAATACGGCGGGGGCACCGTGGCGCCGAATTCAAAGGTTCAGCTCCAACAAATTCGCGCTACCCGGCTCGACGATATTCTGAGGGCGTCCTTCTGTAGCATCGTTCATGTTTGTCGAGAAGAGAGGAAGAGGAGGAGGAGGAGGAGGAGGAGGAGGAGGAGGAGGAGCAGGAGGAGGAGGAGGAGGAGGAGGAGGCCTGAGAAGGGGGCGGAGGCGGAGAAGGCGGACGACGGGGCGCCTCCCTGTTGGACGCGCCCCGCGCCGAGCCCGGCACCGCGGGGGGCGGCGCGCCAATGGCAGAAGGAGGCGCTTCTCTGACGCATGCGCTCCGCGCGGAGCCCACGACCGCAGGGCCCAGGGCGGCGGGCCGCCGCGCCCAGCCTCGCCTCTCCGAGGGCCCCTCGCCCGCGCAGGGGCGGCGGCCGCCGCGGCCCGCGGCGCGCCTCGGGAGGCCCAGCGCCGCGCCACGGGCGCTGGCCGCACGCGGGGGGCGGCCCGCGAGGAGCCCCCGCGCGCCGCACGGGGCCCCGCGGCCCATGCATCCCCACGCTCGTGAAGCCACCGCAAGGGGGGGGCCGTTGGCCGCCCCCACTGCTCGAGGGAGGGCGCACGAAGAGTCAGCGGCTCGAGTGCTCGCCCTGTCGACTGCCACGAGAAAGCCTGCAGGCCTGGCTCCCGCACTCCGTTGCCACCTGGGCCGCCTGTCGTGCATACGGGCACGTCAACACCCTAATCCCGCGAACCTCTGCCTGTTTGCCCAGGCCTAGCGTATATGTTTGTTTGTGCCGCGCGGGGCAAGAGGAGAGGGAGGAGAGGAGGGGGGGGGAGGGGGTTGTGGAGCCTGGCCAGAGAAGCGTGATAAGCAACGACCCCACACCGCCCGCGACTCGAAAACTCGCGACGGCCCATGCGTTTCAAAACCATCGGCCTCTGGAGGCCCAGCCTGGGGCTCAAGACACTTCAATTTCCTCCTGGACTCTCCGCCTCAAAAACCTCAGGCGGATCGTGATCGCATGGGCCCGCCTCGGGCCCAGATCCCTCAGGCCGCCTCAGAAACTCATCCTCCTCCTCACCTCCAAACCTCCTGAGAGAAGCACCTTTTCTCTCTTGGCCTGGTGGCGCCCGCGATCCAGATCACGGGCGCGAGCTCTGCAGCCGGCGCCCCCCGCCGCCGCTGCACCCCCGCGAGAAGCCTCGCGAAGAGCGAACGCCGCGCCGACCGCTATGCGGCAAGCGCGCGCGAGCCCCACTGTGGGGCCCGCCGAGCAAACTCGGCCAGGGCCCACACTACCTCTGGCGTGGGTGGGTGGGACCCCAAAAACATACGCGGTCCCCCAGGAGCCTCGAGCAAACGGCAGCGGAGGAGGACAGCAGGGAGAGGAAGCTGCGAGGCGGGAGGAAACCCACTGTTCTAACGAACGATCACGTTTCCTCCTGGACTCTCCGCCTCAAAAACCTCAGGCGGATCGTGATCGCATGGGCCCGCCTCGGGCCCAGATCCCTCGGGCCGCCTCGGAAACTCCTCCTCCTCCTCGCCTCCAAACCTCCTGAGAGAAGCACCTTTTCTCTCTTGGCCTGGTGGCGCCCGCGATCCAGATCACGGGCGCGAGCTCTGCGGCCGGCGCCCCCCGCCGCCGCTGCACCCCCCTTCGTACTCCTCCGGCGGCACACAGCTGCCACGTCCAGTGCCCACGGCACTGGCCCTCTTTCTTGCGCGCCGCGGGGCCCACCTCGAGGGCCCCCGCACGCACTGGCGGGGGGACCTGGCCCCACACAGTCCAGCGCTCCTGGCGGTGCCTCTGCCACGACAGATGCCCTCGCGGCTGAACACCTGATGCCACACTGCCAGCCTCGAGGCCCCCCTGCGTTCTCAGCTCAGGCCTGATCGGCCCCCGCTGCCCACACGCTCTGAACCTCAGACCAACGCAACGGCACAGCCTCTCAGACCATCGCGACGTCAGTGGCCGCCATGCTGCTGGCAACCCCCTCTGCCATGCCGCGCGCCCCCCACAGGTAACCCTGGAAAGCGTCGCTGTTCCACCGCCCCCAGCGCTGCACCAAGGCGGTGTCCTTGAACGCCGCATAGAGCGCCGACGCCCCTCCGATCCTCAGGCTGCGAGAGCCTAGGTCGTTCGGGCCCATGCCCTCCGCCACCGCCGACTGCATCACCACGCGCTGGACGCCAGCCCGCGCCACAAGGTGCATGTCGTCGAAGGCGAACAGGGGGTCGCACATCTGCGCGCCTGAGAGCCTCTCGTTGGCCCAGCCCGCGTAGATCTCGAGCGCCTCCACCACGCAGATGTGCTCAGCCCGATCTGCATCTTCAGTGATCACAATGCGGAAGTGATTGCGCCACTCGCCCCGATTGTACTGGTCGGTCTTGCTAGCCCAGATCTTGATTACGACCTCATTCGCCTCGCCCCACACGCGAGTTGGCTCGCCGTTCGCCTTCGGGGTAACGTCAGCTCCCCGAAGCCCCTTGCCGCCCACATAGCCGTTCTGGTCGTTCGAAACGTACTCGCTGGCCCTCAAGAGGAAGAAGTAGCCCGTGGCCAGTGCGGCCCACAGAGCCGCGCCCTCTCTCGACCTCTCCGGTTGCAGCTTCCGCCTGATCCACCTCATCACGCGGGGAGTGACCGGCTTCTTGCGCTTGGCGCCGCCGCCCCTCCTCCTGAGCCCGTCGATCGCCATCCAGAGCCTGCCCGCGCCCCCCGTGATGCCCCCCATGCCGAGCGCGAGGTGCTGGGCCCAGATCGAGCTCAGGCACTGCTTGATGGCGCCCGCCTTCTTGCAACCTCGGCGCGCCAGGTGGGTGACGAACTCCAGCAACAGCTCCTCTTCATTCCTCCTGCTCTCGGGCGTGATCTCGCGGAGCGGGCTGATTCCCCTCGCGCGGCAGAAGAGAGCCCACCACCTCCAGCCGATGCTGTACGACTTGATCGTGGAGCTGGCCAGCTTATCATGGATGAGCTCGAGCGTAGCTTTCTACCAATCCTCGCGCGTCTTGAGGTCCGTTAAGGTAAGGTCCTCCGGGCGGGCGCTCGCTCGAACCGCCTCTGGTCCGAGGAGGTTGGGCGGCCTGTTCTCGCACGGGCCGCAAACCTTTTTGCTGCCCTTCTTGCTGCTGCGCGAGGTAGCTCCTGCTCTACGGGCGTGCTCTCCGCCCGCGCCCATGGCTGCCAGGGCCCAGTCGAGCCACCCTCCCCTCTGCTCAGGGTGGCCCCACGTCCTCACAAGCGCCTCGAGCTCCCCCTCGGCCTTCGCCTGCTCGAGACACCCGCTCCTGCGGTCGTCTCCCCCGCTGCTGCCCCGCCTGCGGCCCCCGCCTCGGTCGCGACGGCGACCCGAGCCCCGCGTGGCCCCACGTACCATGGCTTCGAGGCGGGCGTGCACTCCTTCCAGGCTCGGACCCGCGCTGCTAGAGCCCCGCATGTCCGCCATGTAGCGCGCGACCGCCCGCGCGTCGATCTCGACGTCCTCGCCCGGCAGCGGCACGCGGGCCGGGCGCTCCTCCGCCCCGACCGGGC